CTCACAGATATAGAAAACAAACTAGTGGCTACCACTGGTGAGAGGGAAGAGAGGAGGGGCAATATAGGGTTAGGGATTTTTTTAAAGGTTATTATGGAATTATATGAAATCATGTAAGTGAAACCTCAAAATTGTAAAGCACTATATAATTTAAAGAATCTTTCATTGAATAAAAATAAGGATATAAATAAAACAACTTCCCCTTAAAAAGATAAAACAGAGAAAGACAACTACTGTCTGATAATACTTATATATAGACTGCTGAAAAAACTACTGAAAAAAAGACACAGATTCATGGATACATGAACAAACTATAGGTTAGCAGTAGGGAAGAGGCAAGACAGGGGTAGAGAATTAAGAGTTACCAACCACTATGCAGAAAATAAGTAACTTACAAGGACATATTGTTACGCACATGGAATATACACACTATTTTATAGTAACTATAAATGGAATATGACTTTAAAAATTATGAATCACTATGTTGGATACCCAAACTTATATAATATTGTACATCAACTATACCTCAATTTGAAAAAAAAAATTTTTTAATTTCTGAGTGAGCAGTTATAAAAGTTCTCACCAAAACAAGTTAATAAGTTGTAATCATGTAAGTGTATGGACGTGTTAACTAACATTACTGTAGTGATCATTCTTCAAAAAATACATGTTCTGTGTGAGGCAGTGGTACTCTGAGGGTGGTAGCAGAATGTGTTTTATTTCCTATAATATTGTTGTAGGTATTATTCACTTTAATATACAATATTCTCAGTATAGAGCTCAAAAGGAAGTTTCATTTCATGTTTTGGTGCCAGAATTGTTACACTAATTTTTCAGATTAGCTCATAGAGGCAAAGAAGCTTGTTAAAAGCAACTACTAAGTAACAAAGCCAATATTCTAGTAAATATCTCCTTTCCCCAACACTTAACCTCAAAACACTGCTCTTGGTCTAAACTATGAAATACACATATTTTTTCCAAAGCTCCTTTGCTAAATGTGACAGTAACTTTTGCTAGAGCCTGCCCTTTAAATATACATTAATGTTAACCGCACAGAGTCGGACATGACTAAAGCGACTTAGCAGTAGTAGCAGCAATCCCACCTAGTAAAATATTTAATCCACATGCAGACAGACAGTGGAAAGCATGCACACACCATTGATCTACCCCCACAGAATCCCCTGAAAACTGTAGCCTTTAACATTGACTTATGCCTTCCCAACACCTAGAATACACCTTGGTCCACATCCGAATCTCCAAAAATAAAAGTATTCACCCACATAAATATTTGTCCACTCTTGATAATCCATAGTAGAGGAAACTGAAGCATGCCCTTGAGATGTCGCAGTGAGGTTTGGAAGCTCTGCGATTAGTCCTAACATCTAACAGGAAGCCTCAGGGGTCCCCCTGTCCCTGTGGAGTCAGCAGTGCTGACTGAGTCCCATTCTTCTTTCTCTGCCTACTCTCTACTCCCTCTCTGGGGACAAACTCCCTGGAGAGGTCATCACACCTCAACTCCCTCAGCCTAACAAGTGCCCCAGAGGCCAGGAGAGCAGACCTCCGATTCATGAGAAGCTGGCTGGGCTTCCACAATCATGAGGGTCCTCCCACTTGAGCCAGAGCATCTCTGCCTTCTGTGACCTGGAGCTGGGAGAAGCAGCAGTGAGCTAGGGACCAGGTGTTAGGGAATAAAAGGGGGTTGAAGTCAGGGAAGGAAAACGTGTTATCCCTTTGGAGTAGCATATCAGCTCCTTCTCCATCGCAGCTTCTCTCCTTGTCAATCAGCCCAGAAGTTCATGAAGAAACAGCTTTGTGTGAGAAGCAGACTTGACCTGATGCACAGAAGTGGTGCAGATCAGCTTCTGGAGGGGCTGGGAAGGAAAGAAAAGCATCTGGACATGGAGGTGAGCTTCAGGAAACTGGCCACCCACCTGGCTACTCCAATCCAGTTTGGTACCTTACTCTTTCCTCCCAGATACTTTCAAATATCTCATGGATTGAGAAGTCATAAGGTCCAAGTAAAATTTCCATATGCCATTTTAAATCCATCCAGTTGGACTTCTAAGCTATCTATACCACATTTTTTATTTTTTTATTTTTTTTAAATCATAGCAAATTTTATTGGAAAACTTCAAAACTAAATTTCAAGCAATAGAATAGATCTCTAAAAGTTAAGCAAAAACAAGTTACAGAAGGTAGAAAAGCATGTAGTTTTTTTTGTTTGTTTGTTTTTGCTCACTTTCATTGGGGAATATTTAATATTTAAAGTTGTACCTAATCAATTACATTGATGAATAATGCCTGTAGTTAACAAATTATGGTGTTGTGTACATAAAGTCTTGTTAAGAGGGTAACTTTCATGTTGTCTTCTTGCCACTTAACATGTAAAAATATGTTTATTACTTTGATTGTGATGATGGTACCATGGAATATACATATGGCCAAATTCATCAAAATATATGAATTGATTATATACCACATTTTTTTAAATGTTGGCTTCACCAGGTCTTAGTTGCAGCATGCAGACTCCTAGTTGTAGCATATGAATTCTTAATTATGTCATGTGGGATCTAGTTCCCAGATCAATGATCAAACCCAAGCCCCCTGCACTGGCAGCATGGAGTCTTAGTCACTGGGCCACCAGAGAAGTCCCCCTATACCACATGTTTTAATGGAAGCAGAGCCCATAAGTAGAACAAAGACAAAAACTATTGTACCCCCAGCCTCATTCACTCACCCTGTGCCTTTAGAATGTTCTTCCTGATTCTCAGACCCAAAGCCTTCCTCCTTTTTTCTAGTCATCAGGCTGAGTGTTCCTCAGATCTACAACCTGGAGCACTCAACCCCATGCATTCACCCAATCTCCACTAATTGTTCATTGAACATTCCCCAAGCAGCCCTTTCACAAATGACTCATTTTTTTAAACATTGATTTGTGTGTGATAAACTGCTTTACAGACAAAAACAAGGTGTCTCCCTTGTTATTCACAAAACATCAGGAAACACCTTGTGAGCAGGTGATGCAGGACAAAACAAACCCTTACTTTTTGTCTTCAACCCAGGGCAGTGTCCACCACAGGGCCACAGCTCCACATACAGACATATCCCGGTCATGCATGGCCAATTATTTCTGCCTGATTATGGCCAGTTAATCATGGATATTCATATTTTCAAATTCCACCATCTCTACAACACAGAATGATAACTCACCTCTCTTGCAAGTGAGTATGGGAGAAGAAACATTGTCAGTTAAGGGGAATGGAAGGTCATTCATGTAGGAAATTATCAAAATGATAAAAGAGAACCTTGCCTGATTGCAATAGAAAATTAATATACCAAAACTAGAAGAGATTTAGTTTGAGAGCATACACTTAAAGTGAGTCTGAAATCAGAGTGGAGTTCAAATCCTGATGGCTATTCACTTCCTTAGCGACCTTGGGCAAATTGCTTCATCTCCATAAAACTCAGGCACCTGATAACAACACATGTCTCCCAATTCTTTATTGTGGGGTTTAGTGAGATGTTTAGCATAAGCACAACATCTAAAAAACTTTCCATATTGGTTAATAACAATAGTCACTTCATTTGCTCACTTAGTCGCTCAGTAGTCGTGTTGACTCTGCAAACTTGGGGGGACTGTAACCCCCCAAGTTGCTCTGCCCATGGGATTTTTCAGGCAAGAATGCTGGAGTGCATTGCCATTTACTTCTCCAGGGGATCTTCCAAACTATAGATCGAATTTGCATCTCCTACATCTCCTGCATTGCAAGAGGATTCATTACCCACTGAACCATCAGGACATGTTCAGGTTTTTACAAGATTTTATGAAAGAAATACTTGTTATGCATTGAGCTTTAAGTAATAAATACTGATTCACTCAAAGCTAAATGCCTAAACAAATATTTCTTTCATAAAATCTTGTAAAAATCTGAAATTAGCCTGACAATTTGACAGTGAGGGATAATGTAAGTAAGTATTGTAGAGATTTTTACAGTAACCAAAAATATACAAGCAATGTCTCAAAATGCTTGAAAATCCCTATGGAATATGTCTATTCACAAGGCATGGGTGGACATTATGACTCTAAAAAAAGTTTATTTAAAGCACTTTGCTGGTGTAAGATCTCTCATTACCTAGTTTTTTACATTACCAAGAAACAGACTTTTTCAATATCCACTGCTGGACAACTGGATATGATTGAAAAAAAAATGTATATAAATATGTTTCTCATATGTTTTCTGAATAAACATATGAAAGAGGAATTTTTTAAATGAATAATCAACAAAGGATGCCCATCCTGTATGCATGAGATTTAGGACAGGGAAATTAAAGAAAGGAATAATTCTGTACAACTTGCACAGACTGGTGATGATAGCATCCCATGAGCTAAGAAGGATGAACCTCTCATTCTCTGCCAAGAGGAGGAAAAAATACTGTTGAACTACATTCACCATTCCTCCTAGATTTGCCCTGTTGGTTATTTTCACAAATGTTCTTATTCTATCCAAAACAATGCAAAGAAAAACTTTAGAATTATGTAACAGAATTTGCTTTAATATAAAATGAGGGCCCTCTGACTTCCCTATCTAAAATACCTCCACCTCCACTCCACAGTCAGCTCCATTCTCTTATGTTGCTGTATTTGGTTAACAAAATTTATCCCTACCTGATATTATATTACGTATTTGTTTGCTGATTATCTATCTCCCAAGTACAACATAAACTACACAAAGGCAAAGATTGCTCAGTTTTATTGCTATGTTCCCAGTAAGGAAACGGGACTTTTCCCAAAATAGGAACTAAGGAACTTGAATCAAAGAGGACCACCTCTGGCAATTTCTAAAGGAAAACTCTTCCTCTGTTTCTCCAGCTTGCAATATTAGGCCCTTATGATGCCCATGGATTTGGGAAGGGAGGACCACATCAATGACCATAAGCTGGACAAGCTTTCCCAGCACAGCTGCTAATAGTGACCAAATAGAGGAAACAAAGACTTGCTGGGGTCTCATGATTTGGGCTGTGGAATTGGAACAGGACAAATAACAAACCTTCTTGTGTATAACTAGACACAAGTCAATGGAAAGACTCAACCAAACCAGCAGTGTCTCTGAGTTCATCCTCCTGGGACTCTCCTCCCGGCCTGAGGACCAGAAGCCACTCTTCATCCTCTTCCTCATCATTTACCTGGTCACCATAACAGGGAACCTGCTCATCATCCTGGCCATCCACTCTGACTCCCAGCTCCAAACCCCTATGTATTTCTTCTTGAGTTTCCTGTCTTTCATTGACATTTGCTTCACAACAACCATTGTCCCCAGGATGCTGGTGAACTTCCTGTCACATAAAACCATCTCCTATGCTGGGTGTCTGACCCAGATGTATTTTATATATGCCTTGGGCAACACTGACAGTTGGCTTCTAGTAGTCATGGCCTTTGACCGCTATGTGGCCATCTGTGACCCCTTCCACTATGTCACCACCATGAGCCACCGCTGCTGTGTCCTGCTGGTGACCTTCTCCTGCTCATTGCCTCACCTCCACTCACTCCTACACACACTTCTGCTGAATCAGGTCACTTTCTGTGACTCTAATATTATCCACCACTTCCTCTGTGACTTCAGCCCTCTGGTGAAATTATCCTGCTCCTCCACATTTATCAATGAAATGGTTATGATGATAGAAGGATCTGTTTTTTTGGTGACTCCTTTTCTATGCATTACTTTTTCTTATATACAAATCCTCCTTGCGGTTCTCAAAATTCCCTCAGCTGCTGGGAAACGCAAAGCCTTCTCCACGTGTGGGTCTCACCTCACTGTGGTAATACTCTTTTACGGAAGCATCTTCTATGTCTATTTACAGCCTGTATCCACCTACACTGTCAGGGACCACATGGCTACAATTGTCTACACAGTTTTAACTTCCACCCTCAATCCCTTTATCTACAGCCTGAGAAACACAGACTTGAAACAGGGCCTGAGGAAGCTGGTGGTTAGAAGGAAACCATAGGCAGCACCCGCGTGAGGAACACACGTGTGGATTCTGCTCCACTTGAATCTGGTTTCTGCCGATTCTTGGTAAACAAGAAAGTTCTTGGAGGTTAGCTTTTTTTTTTCCCCACTTATTTTTATTAGTTGGAGGCTAATTACTTTACAATATTGTAGTGGTTTTTGTCATACATTGACATGAATCAGCCATGGACTTATTTAACCCATGTGAGAAGAGGCATTATGAATAATTACATCCAGTGATGATGATCCTTCAGTTGGCTCTGCCTCTGCCTAATCAAGATACTTTCCCTCTCTATTTTTCCTCTTTCCTATGAAGAGTCATCACACTGAATCTTCCAAATGAGATGCTTTAAACTAATCCTTTTCCCATGGATACTTCCTGAACAAATTGCTCTCTTTTCAAGACTTATCCACCAACATTCATCACATTTCAGTACATCGCTAAAAATAATTTCCTAATTTGTAGTTCTTGGATGCCTTTGTGAACATTTGAAAAGGGAAAGGAAGAAAGGAGAGAGGGAGGAGGAAGAGAAGGAGAAAATACATTTTTGCTGATTTTCAATTTGAAGATTTTCATAATTCCTCATTTTTCTCTTTCAAATTTTTTTTCTTGTTTAAAACTTAACTTTTCACTTTTTCTCTTCTCTTGCTTTTCCATTCCTCCTTTATTATATTGCTATGTCTTTCTTTCTTTTCACTTTCCTCATTTTTTCCAAACAATTAAAAATTGCTAATGACCAGAAAGAACAAGAACCAAGAAAATACCCATTCCACAATAGGAATGTTGAAACCATTCTTTCCTCCATCTCTTCCTACAACTATATTTTTAAAATATGTAATTTAATATTTCTTCTAGAAACTTCAAGTCTTTTTTTAGTATAGAAACATAATACAAAAAATTTTGATGTAAAAATTTAAAAATAACCATAACCTCATGACCTAGAGGCAGTGATCGGTAATATAAAATTACACAACCACTTTAGAAAGCAGTATGGAAATTCTGCATTTTATGTACTTTATATTTATTAAAAACCCAAAAATATTCATAGTATTTTATATTAGGAAAAACTAAGCACAAATTAAATGGTCATCAATAAGAAATAGATGACCAAGTCATCAGTAAAAAGCTGTACACATAATATTTGTCATTTTACTAAATAAAAATGATGCATCAGTTAAAAAAAAAAAAGCTGGGAACCTGGGGATAATAAGCAAAGGCTTTGGGGATGATTCATCACTGTTGCACAATAAAGATTAATACCAGCCAAATGTGTGCTTCATCTGACTACAAGGGAATGAGAGGGTCAAGGGTAGTGTTACCCTTCACCTCACAAAATTTACCTTCAACTCACCAACTTTCTCTTTGTCTCATGTGGTGGCTCAGACGGTAAAGAACCTACCTGCAATGCAGGAGACCCAGGTTCGATCCTGTGAAGATCCCTGGAGAAGGGTATGGCAACCCACTCCAGTATTCTTGTCTGGAGAATTTCGTGGACAGAGGAGCCTGGTGGGCTACAGTTCCATGGGGTCACAAAGGGTTGGACACAACTGAGCAATGAACACTTTCACCAGTTTACTCTTTGTCTTGGGAATCCAATTGATTTAAGTTAAGGGTATGATTTACATGTCCATACCAAAGGAGACAATGCTGCTGAAAATTATGTTTAAATTCCAACCAGTTTGCCTGCCAAGGCCTGTGTAGTCAAAGTTATGGTTTTTCCAGCAGTCACATATGGACATGAGAGTTGGACCATAAAGAAGGCTGAACACCACAGAATTGATGCTTTTGAACTGCAGTGCTGGAGAAGACTCTTGAGAATCCCTTGGACAGCAAGGAGATCAAATCTGTCGATCCTAAAAGAAATCAACTCTGAACATTCATTGGAAGGACTGGTGCTGAAGCTGAAGCTCCAATACTTTGGCTACTTAATGTAAAGAGCTGACTCATTGGAAAAGGCCCTGATGCTGGGAAAGATTGAGGGCAAGAGGAGAAGTGGTCAGCAGAGGATGAGCTAGTTAGCATCACTGACTCAATGAACATGAATTTGAGCAAACTCCAGGAGATAATGAGGAACAAAGGAGCCTGGTGTGCTACAGTCCTTGGGGTCTCCAAGAGTCAGACATGACTTAGCAACTGAACAACAACAACAAATTTTGACTGTGCCTACTTCTAAAGGAAAAATGTTCTGGAGCATGACTTCCTCTAGCTGGGCCAAATTAAGACTGATCATGGGTAATGCCTCAGTCCCTCTATTTAGAGAAAATCCCATCATTCTTTGTCTTTCTACTTCCTTCTGGTCTTCTGGTTTGAAATCACTCAGTCAAGTCCAAGTCTTTGGGATCCCGTGGACTGTAGCCTGCCTGGTTCTTCTGTCCATGGGATTCTCCAGGCAAGAATACTGGAGTGGGTAGCCATTCCCTTCTCCAGGGGATCTCCTCAACCTGGGGATCAAGTTTGGGTTTCCTGCATTGCAGGAAGATTCTTTACCATATGAGTCACTAGTGTTGCACTTCTTTCTACAAATGGACAAAAGAAGCAGCTCCGGAGAGCCTCATCTTTCTGCATGCCTACAGAAGGCAGTAGAGTTGAACCAGAGCTGATTATCCAGAGAGGTGCGGTCTGGGTTAGAATAGGCTCAGTTCTGTTCAGTCGTTCAGCCGTGTCCAACTTTTTGTGACCCCATGGACTGCAGCAAGCCAGGCTTCCCTGTCCATCACCAACTCCTGGAGCTTGCTCAAACTCATGTCCATTGAGTAAGTGATGCCACCCAACCATCTCAGCCTCTGTCATCCCCTTCTCCTCCTGCCTTCAATCTTTCCCAGCATCAGGGTCTTTTCCAATGAGTCCGTTTTTCGCATCAGTTGGCCAAAGGATTGAAGTTTCAGCTTCAGCATCAGACCTTCCAGTGTATATTCAGGACTGATTTCCTTTAGGATGGACTGGTTGGATCTCCTGGCTGTCCAAGGGACTCTCAAGAGTATGCTCCAATACCAGAGTTCAAAAGCATCAATTCTTTGGCACTCAGCTTTCTTTATAATCCAACTCTCACATCCATACATGACTACTGGGAAAACCATAGCTTTGACTAAATGGATCTTTGCTAGCAAAGTAATGTCTCTACTTTTTAATATGCTGCCTAGTCCTTTAGGACTGACTAGTTTGAACTCCTTGCAGTCCAAGGGACTCTCAAGAGTCTTCTCCAATACCACAATTCAAAATCATCAATTCTTTGCTGCTCAGGTTTCTTTATAGTCCAACTCTCACATCCATTCATGACTACTGGGGAGACCATAGCTTTGACTAAACAGACCTTTGTCGGCAAAGTAATGTCTCTGCTTTTTAATGTGCTGTCTAAATTGGTCACAGTTTTTCTTTCAAGGAGCAAGTGTCTTTTAATTTCATGGCTGCAATCACCATCTGCAGTGATTTTGGAGCCCAAAAAAGTAAAGTCTCTCACTGTTTCCATTATTTCCCCATTTATTTGCCATGAAGTGATGGGACCGGATGCCATGATCTTAGTTTTAGGACAGGTAGTAATTGGAAAAAGTGAAAGAACTAAGGCAGCTGAAGTGAGATCACCTAATGAAAAATAAAGGCAGGAAAGGGATTCAATATACCTTTATTACATAACTATGTCAAAGCAAGAGTATAGTGGGGTTTTTTAAGTTTTTTTTTTTCCATTTATTTTTATTAGTTGGAGGCTAATTACTTTACAATATTGTAGTGCTTTTAACTGCCTCTCGAATGTGTACTGATGAGTCAGGGCCAATACAGAATGTTTCCAGGGTTCATTTTTCCAAGAGATGAAGTATTGAGCCAAAGCCAAACTATAATAATTTCCTAAGACATTTTGTATACAATTTAGAGAAAAGATATTAATGAGTTTCTTAAAGACCTGCCTAGAAAATAGTAAGTTAGGATATCACTTTAGTCACATATTGCTGTTACATTTGCTGTAGCACTAAGAGAGGGTACCTGCCTTTGAACATCAGTGACATACTGTGACTGTCAGTGAGCAATTGCTGCTTTATGTTTCTGTAACCAGGATGACACCTTGGTTAAAGCAGGCACCTGAGTACAAGAGAGACATGCTGCGGTCCTCCACCCTATATGTTGGAATCTAATTGGTCTTTTAACTACAGCAGATTTAAATTGGGTGGGAAATTATACTGGAAGGAACTCAAAGAGTTAAACATAGAACTGCCACATGATCCAGCAATTTCACTTCTGATCATTTACCTGAGGAAAGCAAACACTAAGTGGAAAAAAAAAGCGCACCCTAAAGTTCACTGAAGCATTGTTTACCATAGAGGAAATATGAAAGCTAATTAAGTATCTATCAGTAGATAAATAGATTTTAAAACACTGTGGTATGCATACAAAATAGAATATTACTCAGCCAGAAAAAGAAAATGGTATCTTGCCATTTGCAACAACACAGATGAACTTAGAGGGTATGATGCTAAGTGAAATAATCACACAGAGAAAGAAAAATATCATATGATCTCACTTTAATGTGGAATCTCAAAAACAAAACAAGCAAAACAAAATGAAAAGTCTCACATATACAGAGAAGAGACGGGTGGTAGTCAGAGGAGATGGACTTTGGAGGGGAGAGGGTATAGTTGAAGGGAACTAAAAGATACAAACTTCTAGTTATAAATAAATAACTTGTGGAGATGTACATCTTAAGAAATAAGGTCAATACTATTATAATAACTTTGCATAGAACAAATGGTTACAGACTCACAAGTATACAGAAAGAACTAGTAGTTACCAGTGGGGAGAAGGAGAAGGGGAGGGGAAACATAGGGGTAGGGAACTTGTTAAAAAGGGTTACTGTGGGATTATATGAAATTGTGTAAGTGAAACTTTTAAAAGTTGTAAAGCACTATAGAATTTAAAGAATCTTTCACTGAATGAAAACAAAACACTAAAGAAACAATTTCCCTAAGAAAAACAACAGAGACAAATACTATATGATATCACTTATATATAGACTATTAAAAGACAAACTACTGAAAATTTTAAAAAGA